TAGATCCTTGATTAGCGTTCTTCCACTAATTGTTTCTCAAATACCCTGCACGCGGGAGCCCTCGCTTATGCCTGGGCGCATTCTGGGCAACACCGCCAACGGGTCGCTGGCATCTTTCTCCATGACAGCTCTCCACAACCCAACGCCCGTGCGACCATCAGGCAAATGGCATCGAGGCGTTCCGCAGTGCCACTTCATACCGGTTGAATGGCAGCAAATATTGCGTGTGTTGCCCACAGCTCAATCTGGCGCCGACTGAACTCTCAGCCCCATCAATGGATCCTCTGGCCGCTGTGCCCTTCTCTTGGGAATCCTGCCTAGAGTTCACATGCAGTGCGGCTGATGCGGCAGTTGCTTATGCATTGCTTGTCTTGTTCGTATCCAGAATGCGGAATGAGTAGTCTTGGCTGGTGAACATGCCCTATCGCCTACCCTGTCCTCCCACCACATCGCCAATCTCAGCCTCTCGATTGGCACCCTCGACCGTCGAGTAATCAATTCTGGCTGCATCCATACCTAGCTGCATCCGATGCGCTGTTGGTGTGTTGGAGGAGGCCTGATAATTTCGCGCAGTGGCTTGCTTTTGTCTTGAGACCCATCAGCATCACGAGGTGCACATGTATCGTGTCCGGTTCACCAAGCAAAATTGCGGCAAGAGAATACTGAGTACCCACAGAGGCCCTCCGTGATCCACAAAAGCAAGTCTCCACGTTTTCACGCCGAAATCGCTTAGCTACTCCTAAAGTTGGAAAATTCGTTGTGGGGTGAGCGTTCGTGCTCTCACCATCCCCACCATGCGCAACCAGTCATTGAGGTACATGCGACCCATACCTCTTGATCAATGATTTTAACACAGCCAATGAATAATGGTGCGACGTTAGACATAAGACTCCTGAAGCTCCAACCAAGGTCTTGTCCCGCAAGCCCGCGTCTAAGCTTCGCAAGGGCTACGCCACGAGAAAGCACATTATCCTGGAGCCCCGCCACCGGGGTATTAGGCTAAATTGCTACAAATCGCGGCATCACCTGACCGAATCGGTGGCTGTTCCAGAAGTGCCTCAGCTATTGTTTTCCCCAAATAAACAGGAATTGGATGGCGAATTTTTTTTATAGATCTACGTGTGATCGCTCGTGGCGCCACGGTCAACGCAGTATCACGCCCCCAGTGATGAGTCCAGCGGCGCAACACCGGTTCTACTATTGGAACTTTATCCCAAATTTTCTGACGATCACGCGAAACGGGACAGTTCGCATCAAAATATTTAACATTTAACAGGTTCTCCGCAAGTATGATTGACTTTTCAGATTAGGCTGACATGGAAACTCCCGACTCCTGACTTTCCATAAGCATCCGCATTTATTGCTGTCCATTCGAACGACCTCTGGATTTCCACCATCATCGTAAGGCTACGAAATAGCGACCTTGAGAAGCCAGACTTGCTTCTCCATACCTATGCCGGAAGAGGGATAGATACGTGTATGTTGGTTATCTTTTCCCCTCATTCCACGCATGCACAGCGACGATCAGGCCAGGCGAGATGCCGTACGAACCGAATATTTGCTTTTACATGGTGATCCTCCCAGCACAACAGAGTAAAATCGTCATTATCTTGAAAGAGGCTTTGCCAGGTTCTCTCATAGGTGTAGAGTATTTGCAGTTAGCAATATGCAATCGTCAGCCAAGACAAGTGTTACGTTTAGTACGATTGGCCATCACCTCATAGTTGATGACTAGGGCGCCACAATATTGAGATGTACTCGCCACCGACATGTGAGCGTGTCTATCAGAGTGATTAGACGTTTGCTTGGGATTGGATCTGGTTGCACACCACTAAGGTGAAATACTATTGTAAAGTATATGCTGATGAGGCAAATTCGCCACGACGTCTTGTAGAGCACCTTATCCTACCAATGCCTGGATCCGAAACTAGTGATAGGCGTGCGTGCCAATCACTGAACAGATAATCTCTCTTTCTTCGCAACTACATATCATGCTTGCCGAAATACTAAAGCTATCGTAGAGTTCTTCATAACAACCATGCAAACGATATTTGAGGACAAACCAGGCTCATATTACTTACCTTTGTGTGTTTGAGAATACAAGTCCGGGGTAACAAAGCACCTGATAGCCCGATTTCGATGAAGATACTCGAATATTTCACTGCTATACCGACAGAATCCTCGAACCTGCTTTTTCCCCGTCACTACTTGGTATCGATGCACTAGGAGTTCACTGAAGCACATCAGGCTCACATTTTTCGAACCATCATATGCTGCAATGTTTAGAAAAATGGCAGATAGTGAGTGTTAGGTTAGATCCTTGACTATTTGCTACAATCTCATACTGCGTTCGTTTCGACACGCCAGGGATGTTTCGATCCACGGTTATCTCATCGAGCACAGTTCGCAATATCTTCATTCATATTACCCACCGCATGGATAATCAAATAGCTGTTCTCTGAGCTACGTGCAAGTTTAGCTATATGCGTGGATGATCAAGTATCTCTCGAATATTCTGCTATTGGTGCTCGGAGTCAACATTTGCCACGATGTAAAGCGCATGTTGCAGTTTTTTTTTCATTCATCTCTACCCGGTGAGAATTGTTTATGACATGCGGCAAGAGCTGATTGATGTAAATAAGGGTTCTGGAATAGCGCAGTTAGGATATATGAATAGTCGGTCTTGGTCTCAATCTAGCCATCTTGAGCATAGTGATAATTTCAAGGCTGGTGAAAAGGTTCGGGTTGGAGTGGTTTTGAGCGGGGAAGCAGTTGTAGCCGTGATGAGGGAGGTGGGGGGGGCAGCCGATTTCTGCCTGTAGTTCTTGCCGAAGGGTATCTTACATTAGAGTTCGAAAAATTTAAGTACTGGATACGGCCGATGCAGGTTTTTTTCTGCGTTATGCGAGAGGTCGTAGAAAGAAATTGTATTTCTGGTGGATTTGTACTCTGTTTTCAGTCGCAGAAACGGCTCGTTGTCACTCTCCTTTCCCGCATTCTTTTCTAAGCTGTAGGGAACTCCCGTTCAAAATATAAAGGCTTGGTGATGGTCCTTCTTTTGTACGCAAGCCCAGCAAACCTGAGGCGGGCATACTGTTACAGTAAACTTAGGTGAGACCTGAGCCATAGATTGGTATGCCACCAGGGTCGCTGCTAGCTTTGACACCCAGTTATCGCCGGTCCGAACAACTAACATGCCCGTTGGAACATCAAGTAACTCGTTCCAAGTGTCCACCGCTGTGATGTCTTGATTCGAGGCCGAGTTCAGTTTGTGTTGACATGGACCCTGATCCCAGAGCCTAGACACCAATCGAAATGATTCTTTATTCTTGTCTTCATTCTCTTCTCCTACTCCTTCATCATCATCATCATCCCCATCTGTTGGATCATCCTCATCCGGTACACTGTCATCATCCATTGAATCATCCTCATCCAGTACACTGTCATCATCCATTGAATCATCCTCATCTGTTGCATCGTCTTCATCTGTTGAATCATCCTCATCTGTTGCATCGTCTTCATCTGTTGAATCGTCTTCATCTGTTGAATGATCCACGTACATCTCAAAATTAATCAGAGGTGAGGGGTCTACGTCAGCAACCCATTCGCCTTTATCTTGGACGGAGATGACAGACTCGATGAAGTATATCTGACTGTCATATGCTCCTCTCAGTCCATCAAAGTGAGGGACATGGTAGTCAGTAAATGACAGATGCATAGACGTGTTTTCGAATGAATGAGACGCAGTACCATCAAAATTATGGTAGGAGTCAATTCTCCAACTTCCGGCGTCAATCTCTCGCATTATAGGTTGCTGTGGAGGTAGGAGAAAGTTGAGTCCTGGTTTGCCGATGTTTCCAAGAATTCTCTGGAAATGGAAAGTTCGTCGTGGCGATAGAGTCTCGTATGGATCTTGAATTAACTGAAATCTTAGCATCTCTTTGCAACCATAGGAAATGACTTACAGCTTTGGAGACAAAGATTGAGTCTGCGTACGAAAACGCTATAACGTTTTGAAGCACCTTGGGGTCAATATCGTGAATACCAGTTTCCAAGTACGACATCATCGAGACCACGATTCCCTGACGCAAATTGGACGATCTGGCGCCCATAGCCCAATGTGTATCTTTCAAAGGGCGCGCAAGAACGCCGGCATGAACGGTCGCATTCGTTAGATCGTCGTAAAATGAGGCTGCAAAACCAATAGCTCGTAGCGTCTCCGCGAAATCATAACTCCCGAAAGCGAAAATTTGTTCTAATTTTGAGAAAATATCCTCGGGATCAATAAGGTCGTGATCCAAGCACCAATTACAATCTTCGATAGTGGGTGTGAAGCTGAAGACATCCGGTCTGTCGGGAAGCGCCCGAGCGAATAAAGCTATTGTCTCTGAGACATCAGAAACGGGGTAGTAAATGTATTCTCCGGAATCATGGGCTGTGACGAGCTCCCGACCATGTGACTGGAACTTGAACTTCTCGGTAACGTCCAGGGTGCTGGTCTCATTGTTTGGGACAGGAATACCATGAGCATCTGCAGGTAACCATCTGTGATGAAGTGTAATACCAGTTCCTTCCTCAAGCTCGGGTACTAATGCTGTTACCATCATATATCTTGAGTGCAGATGGGAAGACAGCTGATGAGATTGTAAATCGCTTCTTTTGGGTTCCGGGAGCTTTTGCCGTATGAGAAAGGTGTCAGGGGGGGTGTTCTCGTTGCTGAGACGTCTTGCCGCATACCGAAAATACGAAATCACCGCTTCGGTGTCCTTAAATGCGGACTGGAATTTCATGTGATAGAATAGAGATAGAAATAGATCTTGCTGCACAGAGAAGGACGTATCATGGGAAAAAAACACGCGAGACCTTCTGCGGCCTAGCTGTACCAGTTTATGTTCCAGGCCCTGAGCTCCACTATCAAGTTTGTTGTAAGCAGTAGCGCCATGTTTGAGAAACTTGAACATAGCCAAATGTGGCTTGCTCATATATCGATAAGTCCCTGTATGCTGAAGCCAAGATGCAAAAAGCCGAGCAATTGTTTCACTGGAAATTTCTTTCGATCCCAACCGTTCAAGCAAGGCCCCAAATACAACGAGACTGAATTGCGACCATGTCAACCTCGCGTTAGCTTCTATGCCCGTTGTAACATTGACCGGTCGTCCATAGTGGCGTAGGTGAGATAACGACAGGGACCAGCGTACACCCCCCTCTTCCTTGGACGAACTCGGCCGTCTCGATACACCCAGAGACAGTATTCCTCCTTCAGAAACGTATGGATCTTCCATTTTGATTTCGACGGGTGCAGAGTTATACATACTCATGTCTGGATATAGATGCCAGGCTGATAGACCTAAGAGGGCAGCACCATTCTGAACTGACTGAGGCTCACCTGAAACAAGCTTATTCATAGTTTCGAGCGCTATCATCCAAGTCTCAATGACACTTAGAAAGACGGCTGAGCCACCAGCCATGGGCAGGTCAAGATTTTTGAGTATCAAGTCGAGTTGCTTTTGTTTCCGGCAAAATATGTCGTCGGCGGTTTGTAGCCATGCTCTGGCACTCATGTCCAATGCAGCAAGCTGAGGCCGGGATATGTCTTGTCCAACTGCCGCTGCAAGTGCGAACGGGACTGGTTCGCCCTGATCAACCTTGCGGGCAATATCCTTCTTCCTCTCCGAAACCAGCTCGACCCATATAGCGACAGCTTCCGGGGCCGTCCACACACGAGCGAGCATACATGCTAGAAGGTGAATATGTAGAGCACATGTCGAAGATGTAGCAGCGGCCCAAATCGAGGTCCCGTCTATTCCCGTGTATTCCCCGAAAAGTGTTCCAACGAAAGGCTCTGATTTCTCTTTTGCGGTGTTTGCAATTTCCGATGCTCTTTTGCCGTATGCTTCTAACAATGCAGGGGCTGAAGGGCAGACGCCGTCGAAAAGCGCACCAAGCTGTCTCGCCAGCACATGGCTGGAGCCAAATTCTGCGTTCTCTTTGCGTTTTTTCGAGAGTACGTTGCCAAGCGCTTGGTATTCCTTTGGTGCCTCGCATTTAACTAAAGTAAAATCAAAGTTGATGTTTGCCGCCGCTACTGTTACTTCGTTTGTTGCGGACGCTAGGGCAGCTTGGAGTCTACCGATGGCCATTTGAACGATTTGGATGCACACAGTAGGTTGCGGAAACTGCGGGATGAAATGAATGAGACAGTCGTTGGTAAGAGTCGATTTATAGCAATATGATGCACTGCCCCCGCATGCATTAATCTCGCTTGCATCCTGTTGCCTTGTTGCCTCTTCGCCAAGCAGCACCGCCACGTTGCACATCAGACACAGCTTTGCCAAGTGTCATGTCGACGTGCGCTGCGTGCGCCGAGATGGAGTATAAATATCCAACTACCAATATTATACGATAAGCTCGTAGTCTTGTGCATGCATTTTAGCATAGTAGGTGGCGCGCATAGTCTTTTTGGACTCGCCCCTTACAGGAGGTTGAGGGTCACTATCGCCCAATGATAATCTTCTACTTCTAACGTAAACCCAAGTAAGTGTTCACGACTTCTCGTCTTCCTTTTTAGAAGAGGAGTCATTCCTGCTGTTACTCGTAACATCGGAAACCTTGACAATGGTCTATAGCGTAGCTAAGAAAGGGTTTAGGTCTATGTTTAGGCCTACAGGTCTCTTCTTTACGCGCATGAAGACAATAGAAGATGAATTAGTGCTAGGCAGCGTATTTTGGGTCGTCAGCCCTCTATACACTGCATAAAAACTATATGGATAATCTTCGAGGGAATTACAATCTGTAAGAACAGCTAGGGTTATCTTATATGTGTTTTTCATATTGTGGGTATTAAATACTAACTCTAGAGCCGCATTAAGATAAATACTAGAAGACATTAAAATAGCGACGAAGCTAGATTCCATGGCGGACCATTGGGAGTACTGTGTTTGTATCAAGGCTCGAGATGGCGACTGGGGAGGGTAACGGGAGCTCTACAGTCGCCGTTTCTACTTTGTTGCCCATCTCGACGAGACTGATATCGCTTCCAGTAAGGTCCTTCTCTGCAGAGCGATAATAATCCGCTCGAGAACGGGGCGTGCTACCAATTGTAACTGTAGCCGCAGATAGTTTACTAAACTGGCCGCTGCCGCTGCTTGCACTCTTGGAATTATGAGTACCCATACTGGAGCCCACCCTCTGGAGGAAAGAGCCCATGGACACCATAGCACTTCCCAGACCGGATATGCTGAACACAGGTCGCATTTTGAGAAGGCAGCATGCAATCAGAGCGACGTTGGTTTCAACAACAGTCCAGAAAAGACCATGCGAAGTTATGCCAGTGATGTCATAGGTGGGCATACCCATGATGTACTGCTGATCGAGGGCAGCAGAGGGTGTGTTCTGCTTGATGCAGATGACCATGCGAACAACTGCAGAAGCAACAGCGAATCCTCCAAGTAGGAACACACCACACAACTGAAGTTTGCGGACAGTGGGGATTTGTAGACGCCAGATCTGTTAGAACCGTAATTAGCACCAAGTCTTCTTTTAAATACCGCTCATCGAGACTCACCCAAGGAAGTGGCAGAATTAGGATGCACAGGTCAAAAAAGGCATCCAGGACTGTGAATGCGATAGTCGCTTCAAATCCAAAAGGGCAATTCTCGGCAATGCTTGCCAGAGAACCCCAGTTGGCAGCGAAGTTCAGGCGGCAGTCGAAGATGAACCCAAAGAAGAATGCAATTATGAAACCGACAGTGAGGATAATGAAAACCAGAGAAGTCCACTGAAAGCTAGGCCATGTAAATATGCGACGGTAGAGGAAGAGGAATGCGAGTTTCGTAAAACCAATGGCCAACGGCTGCATAATGAAGATCATATACACACACTACTACAATTTTAGTCTAGTAAACACACGAGAAAAGAACAAGGGTACTCACCTTCTCTAAGATTACCAGTTCGGGTGTAGTGCTGTAGATCCAGCCTTCGACGTTGCTAGGGTCATTATGACCGCCAATGATTCCCTTAGCGGCACCTAAAATGATGGTTAGCTAAAAAAAAACCCCCCAGCTTTTTCGTATTTGAGTTGCGCTTTACCATAGATCATAACGGTAGAAACACCAATAGTTGGGAGAAGAGCCAGGAGACAAAACAAATCGTCGAGATGCTGGCTGAAACGCTCATCTCTAAATCTGTTCGCCTTCTTTCCTGCCACACCCAGTCGAATGGTGACGACAATAACAGTTGCAGCTGTGAGTGCGATACCAGTGGCCAAGCACGAAGTAACGTTGATGTATTCGTAGCCCATTTTGCCAGCGATTCAGCGACCTGGAGATGGTATTATGGAATGACTGTAGTAGCATTAACAAGTGGTATTCTCTTGGGTTATGTACCACATAGCATTCACAGCTGTGAAAGACTAAGTTTAGCCATCCTTCAACCCATACGCATGCCTGGACATCTAAGGGCACACCCTCCGAACACTGGTTGAGAGACCTAGTTAAGACCTATTTGCCTCCAGATCTATGGATGCACGCAAGGCCGTCCGTTGCAAGCGAAAGTGGCGTGTATAGGTTCCAAAAACCGGGAAAGGGGAATTAATGACATGTGGAACGTTGCCCACACATCGGCCTAGAACCGATACCTGACGCTAGTTTAAAGAAGAGGGTTGGTCTTCGATCGCAACAGACTGAAGCCGGACTCAGATCGATCCACGGTATTGGCACGTCACACTATCTCGGGCACGGCCGCAAACTCTAAATACGCCATCTCGTTAACTCTTGCCCCGTGCACGATGTACATATCATGCTGACCATCGTGAGTATTTGATTTGCAGGTTTACTGCAACGTCTTCCAGTCGCTACATCTCACATTTATCGTCACCATGTTTGCTCGCTATAAGCTCGTATCGTCAAGCGACAGCGCTTCGGAACATAGTCCGGATCCCGACTCGACACGCGGACGATTCTACCGAACTATAGCACTAACAGTGCTTACAATCGCCAATGTCTGTGTACTAGGCTTGTCCATTGCTATCTGGTACACCACACCTACCAGCCTTGCTTCGCCCAACGCCCCCGATGCACAATCCAGTGAACTTGCTAGAGTAGAGTCGCTTCCCATCGATTTCGTTCCTTTCTATTGGAATACGCCATGGGGTGCACCTAACGCCTCGGAAGCTGATCCGCTGTGGGACAACATCAACACTGCACACGGTCATATCGCAGTGGACCATGAGTTCGCGGCAGAGAACCATGTGAGTTAGCTCGAACCACTTTCCTGCAAACCCTGACAGTGTGGGTCAACGGTTGATGGTTAACACATTCAAAAGTGGCCTCCCTCCATGGACATACCCGGAAAGCCTGGTAAAGGATTGTATCTCCTACAGGCCTACCATCAACTCCACTGCCTCGTACGTCACTCATCTGACTTTTAGCTTTTGCTTTTATCAGAAAAATTCTCTAAGCATATTACTATAGCGTATTGTTCGCGCCGCATATTTAACTCTAAAGCGCCGAGAGCTCCCTATCTTCCCCTCGGATCACGTCTTGCATTGCTTTGACGCCCTCCGCCAGCACATCATGTGCCACGCGGACAACACTCCGCTCTATGGTCATGGCCATGGGACAGCTGGTGACGGGCAACTACACCAATGCCGGGATTGGAACGCGCTTAGGGATTATGCAACAAAGAACACAGCGTGCTTTCGCGATGGCGAGCCTGGTATGAGTTTTGAAGACCGGTTTGGGGTGTGTGATGACGGAACAGATGGCTTAGAGGAGCGTGTGCCAGTACTGGCAGTCTCATAATCATCTTCATCCTCAAGTAATACATTATTTCGTATAATTTCAACATGGGCGAAACTACATCAAATTTCATGTTCTTACAGTCATCATCCTACTGCGACGGTTGCCACTGCGTGTGGGTTCTCTGTTCACGCACGTTGTGGCGTTGTCCAGATCCCGCTAGCCGAAAAACTATCAATTATTGTGTTATATAAAGTTAACGCTGGTAACGTAACAGTATGTCATAGGAAGATGTCTTGGCCAGCCGTTGCATTAGGGTGATGAAGCCATTCTGCATCTCTTTAGGTTTTTCACAATTTGAATGTTGTTACTCTACTGTGCAATCAACATAGCCGAGTTCGGATTTGAGTAGCCAGCCACGGTGTATACCATAGAGTAACTGTGCTTTACACCATGTTTGCAAACGAATTTTGCGCTAACAATTATAATTAGATGGCGAAATAGCTCCATGTCAGCCAAAGGGGTCCTTAGCTTCTCTAAAGTTATTTCTCTGGGTCTGCGATCTAGATGGCACTGTCTAAAAACGTAGACAGAGACTGCAGGTAGCTTAGTTCTCCTTATTCTGGAGATTTATGGATCCAAATAATGCTGAGTGGCTGGGCAACGTACGATTGCACACATGGTGTAGATGTTAGCGCATATCGCAGAGGCGCTTGCAGTCCTCCTATGTACCGGATAATGTAAAAGTTTCATAGTTCGGGGGAAAAACGTGTGCTGGAGACAGTGTTCTGGCCCAAAGCGGATTGAAAAAGTAGGGGTGCGGCTGATCGATTCTAGAACCGCCACATAATCCCCCAAGGCTAGGCGATACGAGCTATGCTATTAGTTTATGATTGGCTGCATGCGTGTTGAAACTTTCAAAAACTTGTTCGCGCGACAAGTGCGGAACCTCAATTATGCGGGCGTTTTTGGTCAGAGTGCTCTCTGCATCTAAGCCTGCTTAAGGATAGTCACTCTATACCAAAATTTGGAAGCCTCATAAATTTGAAATCTTTGGTATAGAGAGCGCAAGGAATAGAGTTTTGGCAACTAAGGCGTTTCGGAATGTGGATCGGGTACGATTAGTTCGCTTCAAGACAACAAAAAAGATCAAAACACACTCTACGACAAACTTTCTTCAACGGGCATAAAGCGACCGCGAATTCCAATTCATCTACCATCGTCAGGATCAATCATCTCTACCTCGTTTTATCAGCGTCTTACATTTAATTATCTTGGCCATCAGAGGCTTCTCTCTCTTCGTGTTGTAAATTGTTCAATCACTTCGAGTTTTCACAATGCAGTTCACTACTCCTCTCTTTCTTCTTTTTGTTGCTGGCGTGACCGCCTCCCCTCTTCTTGGAGTCAGCGTTGGGGGCATCAGCGTCGGTGTTGCCGGTTCTAGTGGTCTCGTTAATGTGAATTTGGCAACAGCCAAGCCTTCTTCTGCTGTTGCTACTTCTACTAGGACAACGACTACCACTGCAGCCGCAAACCCGACTATGCCTTCGTCTTTCTCAGCCCCGGTCCAGGGCCAAGGCATCCTGACTCTTGACAACTTGCCTGCTATGCCAGCCGTCATTGACAAGAGTCTTTCCGGTGTTCTTGGAGCTGTTTACGGTCTTAGTATGTCTACTCCCTAGTTCACTCCTATATCACTATTCTTTAAGCTACTAATATATCCTTTTAGTGTCTGGAGTTTGCAGCACTGATTTCAAATGCACTGTCACCGTTGCAGGATCTATTCAGTCTCTACTTGTAGATGGCGACAAGTACGCAACGAGTAGCTCTGTGACAGCGTGGTGCGATCAGGGTCGGTGCTACGGCACTGCCGATATCCCTCTTACTGCTACCGCTCCATTCACCATCACTTGCGACCACCTCACTGGAGGCACCAGTGCATGCTCGGCCACTATTTCAGGAGCTATTTCCGCTATCTTCGCTAACGGCAGGCAAGTAGGTAAGTACAGTCGAGATCACTGGTCTCAAAACGCCGCTAATAGAATTTAGAACTCTGGGGATGGATCACACCCGCTGGTTACTGCAAGGATGGTATTTGCGTTGCTTCTATTTCCGCGGTTGGTGACCCAATGTACTAAGCGAACTTGGAAGTAGAATAACTAGGTTTCTATACTTGTTGTTATAGCGCGAGTAGATCTATTAGTGTGTATATTTTCTACTTAATTTTTTCTTACATTATATAAATATATTGATTATCTTCAGCCAGTTGCCTTTATCAGACATCATAGATTACATAAGACTCTGCTGCAATGCACGTGCTAACCGTCAAGACTTGGCGTCGCATGGCATTGCATAGCCTCAATCCACGACGACATACGAACGCCACGACGCCATGAGCCCAATGTGGAGCCAGCGCCGTCTGATACGAGGATCCAAGTCTTGGATGATGTTTGGGATATCTCCCGCCCAGACCCGACACTTGACATGAAGCCTCCTACACTTGCTCTTGATTCCCATATAGCGCGACCGCTCGTTGCGTCGTGCATACTGCTTGCTGTCGTGCTGTAGTACCTATCCTCTCGTTACCTTCACATTGCATCATCCAACAACAAACATGTTCTGGAAAGCACCACTTCTTATCCTCGCGGCGGCGACAGGCATCCAGGCCGACTTTATGGTGTACACCGAGCCTCCAATTCCCACATCCGCAATACCCTCATTCCCAAACCCATCGGACGTACGTACCATCCGCTGCATCAATCCTACATCCCGCTAATAACCATTTCAGGCTGCCAGTTGGACTACTTCCGTCTTCCTCAACGCACGACTCGCTTACGCGTCTTTCACAAGGTCCCTCGGCGAGCCCTATCAATCCTCCCTCACCTCCGCGCGCTCGGAAATCGACGCCTTTGTCTCAACTGCTTCCAACTATAGCATCCCTCCTGAAGTTACCATGGCCGATGAGACACCAACATTCTTTTCCAAGCCGGACTGGTATACTGCGCTGCCGAGTCGCGCGAGGGCCTTCAAGGAGCAGCAGGTTAGCGACCAGTTCAGTATCGTACGAAATGTCATTGCGGCGCGGGTTACATCGGCGAGCTCGACGGGCGCGGCGATGCCGACAGCAGTTCCGGGGCAGTGGTTCGGCGCTGAGTTCGGCGTCATGGCTGCGGCCGCCGCCGCAGCATTCTTGTGAACTGAAATGGCTGGAAGGGCGACCTGGCATGATTCAAAAACGATAAACGAGATAAATGGGTGTTATGGATAATTTTGGGTATGGAAAACATGCAGAGTCATGCTACGAATTGACTACTCTGGTCAGTAGAAGGTGATCCAATCATCATGCACGAATAAAATAGATCATTTCAATTTAAAATACCAACCCACATCATCTGCGGTTTGCTTTTACCCTATCCTCTCCAGGTCCTTGAGAAACCTATGAAACTTGCCCATAAAAGATTTCATGCCGACATCGGTAGTCAACTCATGGTCAGCATCTGGCAGCACACCACTCTGATCACTTGCCAAACCCGTTGGCGTGGCATCCACCCATTTCTTTAACAACGCCTCTTTATCCACAGCTGGCGGCACCATCTCATCTTTTCCAGACACGATAATCAATGTCGGCTTATCCAGTCTACCAAACAACGACTCGATCGTAGAAGCAGGCAGATCAGAAGAAAAGAAATCGTCATCTCCCCCAACAGAAACAAGCGAATGCCAGCGATACGCACTAATCGGCGACGAGAAAATCGAAGGAATAAGATCTGGGGGCATAATCTGCATCTCCTTGCCCTTTCCAATAAGATCTTCAGCGTGCTGAAGAGTAGTATGCAGGAACTCTGGGGACATGAGTAGACTAGCAGTCTCGCGGTCCGAAGTGGGTGCTTGCATGATGTATCCGTCCACTGGAGGCGGTGCTGGAAGAGTGGTTGCGTATGTCATGATAGCCTGGCAGCCTACTCATTAACGGTTAACTCAGTGCTTTTTGCTAAAGTCACCAGGAGGTAAAAAAAAACAGCATACCAGTCGAACTCCCCATCACCACCACCTTCTCTTTTCCCACATCCTCGCCCTTCAGATACGCCACTAGCGCCGCGAGGTCCTTGACATCGTTTTCTAGACTCGAATATCCGAATCCCGTGTAACTACTTCGCATCCGGAACTCGAATACCGAGTACGAGACTGCCTCTGTTTCTGCCATGTTTTGCAGGGCATTATCTATCTCGAGAACCAAGTCTGATGTTTGCGGTCCACCGGTTAGACCGCCGATGTATATTAACGCATTAGGTGAATCTCTTGCGCCGTACTCGTATGCGCAGGAGTGTGGTGTTGGGGAGGTGAAGGGATGGACGCGGACGATGTAGGGGCTTGGCATTGTGTCTATGGTAGTACAAAAGTGATTGCATTGAAGTAGGACTTGAGATGGTTAGATATATTATTCCAGAGAGAATACTGGAATTGGAATAGGTAAATCCTGTTCACGTGTGTTCGTTGGGGCGGAGTTGTGTTGCGTATAGAGGCATGTGTGATTGGCTGCGAGGTACAGTCGGGGTAGTAGTCCGCCTTACAGTAGTGCGGCATGATTAATGACCCATGACTTTCTAGGCAACCGGAATGGCACTTAGTCACTTATGAATATGGATAAACATATCTTGGTCATTCCAGATGTCCCGTTAACTCAATCAAGGATCATGGTACAGCCTCTGAAGAAAGAACACTATTAGCACATGTTTGCAATTGCAGTAGTGGGCTCACCCAGTGAGTATTAACTTTCTCAAAAGCACACCTGGAAATCAAACAACACTGAAAAAGAATCCGTCCAACCATCATAGGGTTATGGGATACAGTATTTGGTAAACAGATTGTACCCTGATTCTGACGTTTTCGTGAAGCATCGAATATCCCGAGCGAAGACGAACGTTGTGCATATCCCTATTCCCAAAAGTATCACAAACTTTACCCGTGAATCATGCACCCCTAAATTTTCACAAAATCAATACAAACACATAACTATCCTTAATCCAATACTTCAGGACCAATCAAATCACTTCCCAGCCTACTAAAACATGCAAAGATCCTCAAACACCCTACTTCCCACCATCCCATCAAGCCACTTCTCAAAAAGCAACTCCAACTCCCTCTATATCCCACTACACCCCCTATCCCCCCTTACACCCCATCAACATCCTCCAAAAACCTCCATCACCTTACTCTACACCCTCTCCTCCAATCAACCCTCCCACACCCACCCTTCACCCCTGCCCCTCCAACTCAGCAACCATGACGTCAGCGGCCCTCATTCCCACTTTATCACCACTACCACCACAACACGCATTACACATTACGAAACAATCCTATATTCCCAGCTACCCCCCTTCCCTACTTTCCTTTTCCCCAAGACGAAAAAAAAATATCCCCCCTTGAGTATCTAAAATATTCACGATACTTTAACCCCACCCCCCACCCGGCCATAGCAAGGACAAAGTAAAATAAAGTAAGAAAGAAAGAAAGAGGGGAAAAAATGGGTATACCCTACTCCCGCCAGATAAATGCCGCCTTCGAACAAGTCACCCCGCTCGTCGCCGCCGGCTTTACCGTCCTGCGCACCACACGCGACATATCCATCTTGTTGGCGATAATCCAGGTTCTGACTGTTGTGCTATTGGCGTTGATACTAGGGGTACTGGTCGCAGTGCTTTATTGTGTCAATCCGGATTTGGAGGTAACTCTTCTTCTTTCCTACCCTTATTCACTTTTAGGGGAGGGGTCGGGAGGAACTTTGCGGGGGGAGGAGAGAAAGGAAGAGGAAGGAAGAGGAGGAGGCTAACGAATAGAAAAATAGGAAGAAAGACAACGCATAATAACACCCTGGCTGCGCTATGCCGCGCAGATAAGTATCTGGGGGGTTACGAAGTTTGTGGTGGGACTCGCGGTGATATCGAGTGCGGCGAGTGCGGCGGTGTGGAAGGGGATTGTAGCGAAGCAGTGGGTCGAGGATGTGGAGTATGAAGGGAATGTGCGGGCGGAGATGGCGTTGGAGGAGTTGGATGAGGAGATGGGGGATGATGAGGCGGGAAAGAAGAGTGGGAAGGGGAAAGGGAAGAAGAAATGAGTTCAATGTGTAGTACGTTCGGTTTGTTTTTGTTTTTTCGGAAAGAAAGAGAGTGATAATTCGTATTAACTAACTACATAACCTTACGAAATCCTCTTCGGTGCAGTATACCCACCCCGATCAAGTAATAACAACGCAAACATGCCTCCCATGACCGGCCTCGCTTTGAATTCGATGCCAGGAGGAAAGGTGCCATCATTCGTCTGGTACAGATCCGTAAACGGCCTACTCGTTGGCGTCTCATTAACCCAAGTCGCCAAGTCATGTAAAAACATGTCTCGAGTTTCGTCGCTCGCTATAGCGGCGCAAAAGACTTCCCAGTCGGATTTAGTGTAGTATCTGTTTCGCGTGTCGAGAGGGACACCGTATTTTTCTTTCACGGTAGGGTAAAAAGCAGACTGAATATCGTAGACTTGCTGAGGCACGAGGTCGAGCTTGAGCAGGCGGTCGTTGTAGAGGTTGTAGAGCAGGCCGTGGGTGCTGGCGTTTCCGTAGTTGAGGATGGCGTGAGGGGGGTTGTCAGCGCTGTTGATACCCAGCTGTTGCCACTGAGAGATGTAGTTGTGGGCAATGGAGGTGTAGTTTTGGGCGTCGGCTGTTTCATTAACAAGGCTTGACATGCGCGACATGGCCTCGATGCCGATGATACCCTTGAGTGCGAGGTTGGTTTGGTTCACGAGATGGCCGGCAAAATCGTCTGTTGATAGTTGCTCTGCGGGGTAGAGACTGTCTTGGACAAGATATTCAGTCCATTGCTTGAGGATCTTGTAGTGCTGGCGGATGTAGTCAGTATTTCCGGATAGCTGGACATATTCCAGAACCATGACCATGTGGTTTCCGCACTCCTCTAACGGCATAGGCTCATCTTGGCCATCCGGATGACCCGTCGCATTCGGGTAGTGGGTACCCAGATCATGAATTGCCCACTTGTTCGGATAGTGTCCACTCTCTTGGTTTTCGAAATGGGGATCGAGCATCAGCTTCATCAACTCAGGGTTGGTGTAGTAGAAGATGGGCGAGGCGGGGTAAATGACATCCACCGTCTGCGTGTTACCGTTTGATGAAATTTCCTTAAGAAACAGGTAATGCTTCTCCTCGGTTCCTACAAGTTGAGTGGCGCCGAATGCCTGGCGGGCTGCCAGAGTAGTCAGAATGGCGTAATCGTCTCCTCCAGCTGCCTTTGAGTCGCTTGAGATTTGATCATCGAGCTCAGTGGAGAGCTTGGTTGACTCAGAATAGTCATTGTAAAAGAATGAAAGTGCAGAGAGATCATCTGCAAAATAGCTCTTCCATAATGAAGGAAGAGTCGTAAGTCCTCCAGCGCCCAGAAACTGGATGGCATCGTCTTGACACACACCAATGGTAAACAGCTGGTTTTTCGCTTCCGAGCCTACTTTCTGAAAATTTAGAGAGTACGCAAAAACAGGCCATTGATCGTTGATTGCTCGGAAATTGCTATCTTGCGAGTTGTCGAGTTTGCCGCTGTTGTTGAAAATTTCGCGGACTTTGACATCAGCACCAGACATGTACGTCAACCCCTCTACTGATTGAGTCCCGTAGTACTAGAAACGTCAGACTTTAGGTCAGCAACAAGTAAATGATAGCACTCACCCAATTTCCCCATTCTGCTCGATCATTGACTTCGCTAAAGGTCTGTTGATTCTGCTTCCACACTTTGTGGTAGTGTATGTCGTCTGATGTGGTGCCAAAATCCCACTGAGCTATGGCGCCAATGTCACCAGATGTCCACTCTATTTATTAGTTAGTCAACATCCTCCTTCTTTGAGAAAGTCTTCCTACCAGCACTAATGTCAGTGTAAATTTGAACACTATGCTCTGAGCCATCTAACGCTGAGACTTCGACCTCTATATAAGAGAAGAGCAGTGATTGGCGCTTAAAGTCGGTTGGAGTAAGTGGTGACAGAAATGTGACTTTGAGTTGGACTTTGTTGTCGGCATTGAAAGTGAAGATACTTTTGGTTGATGTGTACTCAAAGGATGTTTGATTTACAAAGTCCTTGAAGCCGCTGGGTGCGCCCATCCAAAGGAGAGTTTTCCCATCAACCTTGATCATGCCCGCCCAACCTAGCCACTGACCGCTATAGACAGTTAATTCAGAGGTTCAAAAATATTTTTGAGGAAAACGGACGTCCAGAATGACGGCCACTGGCCTGGTAGGTACCCGCCATTTCCACCGCTGCTTCCTGCAGGTAACCATGTACTCAGATAAGGGCTTTTGACAGCTAGTGGTAAAGACGGAGGACGCGCCGGAGTGAAGGTCGAGCTGGATTGAGTGACGGCTGTTTGAAGCAGGCTAAAGAGCCCGGCTAACAGAGGAAGACGCATAATCAGCACTAGGCACTGTCGCCAAGTGAATATACGAATATTTGGGAGAAGACATGGCCGCCAGATGTTATATACGCGGATTTGATCCGCCTTTGCCCGGTGTCACATTGTGCCCACTGCAGCTAGCCATGGGAGAGGTAACAGGTATGCGGATATGGATAGTAAGCGCCAGACTTAAACCCGGAAGCTTCATGGGTTAGATGATCAGCACTAGTCTCAGGCGGGCCACTGAGCAATCTCCTTATGGCCGTGAATGACAACGAGCCAATTCCATATGAACATAACCGGCACTTGATCTTGTAGATGCGAACCCACGTGGGGACATGTTGGTATCACTTTGCGTTGTCAGTTGTACGTCCGCAAACATGTCTCAACGGTGCGACCGGAGTGGGGAAAATGGACCACAACGAAAATCAAGCCGGTACCAAAGAAAAGTTGAGTAGAGACACGGCTAAGATCAGCAGTACAGTAGGTCCAGCCCGTTCTTAGTGACACACCTGACCTAACTCGAAGGATTGTGTTTTCGACCTGCCAGTCTAGATGAAGAGCACGAGGTTCTGCAGTACAGCAGCACTTCATTTATTGAGGATCATGAAGAATGACTTAGTCGAGCTTGATCATGCGCCTCGTTGTTAGCCCATTGTTGTGAGATCAAGGGGTTGCATGGGAGGCCGGGGTTATGTCCGAGTGATCTTGGCGAACGATGGTTTGCTTCGTGCAGGAGCGGATTCCACGCCAGCAGACTTGACGATACCTCGTGACTCTACCTTGGTTGGTGTTGAGGAGTGACGCAGTACAGAGGGCTAGCGGCAAAGGGGACAAAATAGGATGGGATTGCCAGGCGCCGTTTGACGTGTGTATTGGCACGGGCGTTGGCGTAGGCGTTGGCGCTGGTGCTGGTGCTGGTGGCAGGCTGGTCGTACGCACTAAGCAAGTGCTAGCAGGTGCATGATGCGGGGAAGGCGTGCATGCACCCTGCTGTACTTTGCCTTCAACAGGCAAGTGCCATCGGCTCACCTGCAGCTTTACAGTCACTCGAGCATGCAATCACACTGGACAGAAGCAAGCTGTATAGGCCAAAAGTCACGGCTGTCAAGGGAGTACTTTAGGTAGCATGGCTACGTTACCATCAGAGAGCATGTGGTCCAGCGGCTTTATCAGTCTTCGCCATACGAGTCAAGCAGTATTCATTCTACAGCTAGTATCAATTTAATTGACTTCCTCACACATACAACAACCAGCCAACATGAGCCTATGATGCGTCTTTCAGACTGCAACACGTTGAACCAAGGTAGTCACTGCTACCACAGCGCCAAGTAAAGCACAATGCATCATGAGATCCTTCCATCCATAGACCCGACCCTTCCAACCATTGCTAAGCCAACGCCAGAAACAACCATAATCGTAAGTGAAATGACGGAAGTAGGGTATCCAAAAGCCAAACCAAGTGGCTAAAGCGAACAATATCAGGTCGTTGAGCGACGACCTCGGAGTGGGAAATTAGTGTGGCCAAAGAACAAGGAAAAAAGAAAATAGAAGCGATGTCAACAGGGTATCCCACAGTGCATGATGTAGCCCAGCCCACGCAACACCAAACATAATTTTACACAATCAGAACCCACCGTATCACGACTGGGCAACCCATGGACGGGGAACGTTCTCGAAGCGCTCTGCACAGCCGCGAAGCCAAGCACAGTCCAACACATCGTGGACATTCCAGCGCCTCTCGCAGTCAATATCAAGACAACCCCGGACCAGGGCCAGCGCGTCCTCGATACAGCCATCTTGGGCGGCTTCCGAGTTGCGAATCGCCTCTTCATCCCATTGGCAGCTTTGAATCTTCTCCATGGTCTTGATGTCAAGACCGTCGTTGAAGGGCAGAGTGGCGGTGAGCAGAGCGTACACTACTACACCGAATGCCCACATGTCAGCCGCGGGAGAGAAGACAGGCCCAGATGTGCTGAAGAGCTCGGGAGCAGCATACTGCAAGCTGCCAGCAATCGACGTGCTGGTCTCGGATCCATCAAGAGGTTGCGGCTCTGGTCCATCTCGCTGGTCGCTGATGATGAAGTCGGCCATGCCGAAATCGCACAAAAGGACGTCGCCGCCCTCGCTCTCAGCATTGGGCACAGTCATGTCGATGAGACAGTTTTCGAGCTTGATGTCACGATGCACAACCTGGACGTCATTGTGCAGGTAACGCATGGCCGATGCAAGCTGGTAGGCATAGCGTTTGACCAAGTGTGCTGGGAGCCCGTTTGCCTTCTTCTTGCGTGTCTCCCGGATCAGATCAAATAACGTTCCGCCCCTGTTCAGCTTGGTGATGCAGAATGTAGCATAGTCGGTCGTGTACACTCTCAGCAGGGGAATGATATAAGGATGCCGTAGAAAGCGCCAAATCTCCACCTCGTGGTCAAACTGTGTCTGAATTTGCTCATTCTCCAGCTCAGACTTGTTTTGCTGCGTCTTGTGCACAATCTTAACCGCGTCAACAACGGGTTTGCCATTCTCCATGCTCGTAACCTCCTTGACAACGCTAAAGCCGCCGTAGCCAATTTGCTTTCCGATAATGTACTCGCTGTCGTAGCCAATGCCCTGACCCTCGTCATCCGGCTGGGGTGGTCTGATGGGTGCCTCGGAAGCCTTGTAGCGCGCAAGGAAAGAAGCAGCCGGTGACATGGATGACAGGGAGCGGCCAGAGCGGGTGGATGATCGCCGACTAGCACGCCTGATGCTTCCATCCTCGCCAATCTCAGACCGGAAGCTCTTGTTTCGAGGAAAGCCAATGCGCCGTGGGGAAGGCGAGAAGAGCGGAAACTCCAAGGGTGAGGTGGCCTGCATTGGCGAAAGCACATAGTCGGACGGGGTCTCCAGCGGCGTTTGTGCTTCGTCAAGTGGTGGTGAGGCCGTAGCATCCGACGTCAGCGATGCAACCTGGTCGGGGTACTCGTTGTCTCGTGCCAGACCGTCAATGGGGGCCTGGGCAAGGGGAAATCGAGAGCCTCCGACGCGGTACTGCATGCCTCTGCGTGCCGAATAAGGCAGCTCGAGATAGTCCTGCTCATCAGAGTAGCTTCCGTTTTCAGGGTGGCGCGACTGGCGTGCACTCTTGGGGACTGGCACGCCCAGGCCGACGCCTTCGCCAGAGTCAAGGCGGACCTCGTCATTGAAGCTGATACTCGTCTTGCGCTGGCGGAAGCGGGCCAGGTAGTCATCGTCGCTGCCACTTCCGCTGCTGCCTACGGCGAGGGAGCCGACATGGCCGAAGTCGCCCTGGTGGTCAGCGGGGTAGGCGCCATGGGAGGATGAGTTTGCGTCCTGAGCAGCCTCAAACTCGGCAGTCAGCTGCGATGGGCCATGGCCGGCGTGGGGCGAGTCTTTGCGGGAGAGGGGCGCGAAAGAGGCAAAGGTCGAGGCGACGGGCTTGCGCGGCGTCGAGGTGTCGAGTCTGAGCTTCTGGAAAGAGTGTGAGGGGTCTGAAGTCGGGGCCATTAAACCGGTTGTACAGTGAATGCAAACCTCTGTCAGTGCCGGCGGCAGCGGCGGCGGGCGGTCGTAGTATTAATGTGCGTCGTGGTCGTGGGGCTGAGGCGAGGACGTGGAAGGGAAAGGGAAGGTTTGCGGCAGCCAAGGGCGAAACCGGGAAGGGGAGGTAATAGGATTATGTCGTGGTGGGCGCGGGAGGCAGCGACGTGGTGCTAGCGGAACGGTAAAATTACGGTCGCGCCCGGGCTGCGATGTGCCTGCGTAGGAATGGCTTGGGGGTGGCAATGTCAATGCTACCGCACAACGAGCATGGAGATGGGCCGAGGGCAGGAGGTGAGCAATTAAAAGGGGACGGATGCTGGGGGGGGAAGGGTGTGCACGAGAGTAGAGTAGGAGAGAGAGAGTGTGTGTGCCGCCGCTCTTTGTCCTTTTTTTTTTCTTTCTTTCTTCTTGTTTCTTTTTTGCGCTTGCCTGAAGGCGGCGCAGGTTTTGTGGTCGGCCCATCCCCCACGCATGTTGTTAATAGGCGGCAGTCAGCAGCGGGCGCAGGCAAGAGAGTGGATGGTGGGATGCAGAGCACGTGAGCAGCCTCGCAGCCTCGCAGCCATGCAGGCAGCTGTGGTAGCGGGCCTATGGGAGCTCGAGGGCGGCGCCGGAGCGAAGATTTGCGCGGCCACCAGAGGGCTCTAGTCGACCGTTGTTGAGGCTTCTGGGCGAGAGACTGCCGTGGTTGGTGGCAGCAGCGACATAGCCTTTGGCTGCTAGGACACAATACTTTTACTTGGCCTACCCTACCCCGCCCGGAGGCGACATTCGGGCTGCGGCTGCCAGGGTCATGGTGGGAGGAGTGCTATGTAAGTACAGCGTGGGCGGCCCATGTGCATGTACTCTTACATACACAAACACATGCGAGGTACATGTGCCGGTCCAACTACTCTATTTTTTTTACTGCTGTGCGTGGTGCTGGCCTCGTCGACAGACAGACAGACAGACAGACAGGCAGACAGGGTGGGCCTTTCGGGAAAAAGAGGGTTGGCGGTGCATGGCCCAGCTGCGGCCCGCAGGACACTGAGCACAAGCAGGACGGGTGTGGGTGGATGGGTGGGCAGAGTGGGCTTGATGCTGCTGCTACTGCTGCTACTGCTGCCACTGCTGGTGAAGACAGTGGTGGATGGAGACGGTGACAGACTCTGCTCGGCTGGGCAGGGACGAATGGCGAGGGATGCATGGCGACACTTATCGTGAGGGCAGCCCCGGCGTCTTTGCTGGCCTGGCGAACACGTCAAGCGGCCGGGGCAGCGACATGACGTCGCCCGCTGTGCTGGACGCCGCCCCGGTTGGCTCACCGCAACAACAGCAGCAGCTAGGCCGTTTGCATGCTGCCCCAGCCCCGTTTGGTGGACGAGCGGGCGTGCTGCTGCCGTTGATGCTGTCTGGCGTGCATTGCGCCTGTCTAATCTCGCCCTGCTCGACGCCTCTCCGTGACCCTTGCTCTCTTGTTGGCGCTGCCTGCATGTCCGGGCGACGCTTCCGCTCACTAGCACCACCAGCTCAACTCCCGCCAAGCAAGGGCGTGCGCGCATCCAACCTCGACACGCCCACTGGGTGACAACATCACAGAGCTCGTCGACCCCATCGCACCGGCCCCCATCCCAAACACCACCATCTCCGCCCATCATCACCACAACCACAACCACCACCGCCGCCTGCTGCCCGCCCTCTGCCCTGCGCGACTGGTCCCGCTGCACACTCGACTTCTCGCTCCCGCCGCCCCATCACCACTACACGCCTCCGCCCGCCCGGACTGCGAGCGCCAGCGCCTGTAGCCATGGGCATCTCCGACCTCTGCTACCGTTTCTTCTGCTGCGGCGGTCAGTATTCTCGCAACTGCACGCCTTGTCTGAGCCTTGCTAACTGACCGTCGCCCTCTGCAGCCCGCTCGAGGGACAGCATATACGATCCCGTGCTCGCAGATAGCGAGAGGGAAGCTGTTGCCGACCTGCTTGGCTTCCTCGAAAATGTACGCCCACCCGCCCTCTGCACCACCACCACTGCATCCTGCTAACCTGCTCGCAGCGAGCCGAGACCGACTTCTTCTCTGGGGAACCCCTCCGCGCCCTCAGCACGCTCGTCTACTCGGACAACATTGATTTGCAGCGGTCGGCAAGCTTGACTTTTGCCGAGATAACAGAGCGAGGTACTTGGCCCTGCCTCACCACCATCATTGACGCACCTAACCATCCTTGACACAGATGTACGAGAGGTCGACCGCGACACGCTCGAGCCCATCTTGTTCCTGCTCCAGAACCCAGATATCGAGGTGCAGCGTGCCGCCAGTGCCGCCCTGGGCAATCTTGCCGTCAACAGTATGTACACACCGCAGCACTTGCAAGCTTCTTCTAACCCTCGCAGCCGAGAACAAGGTAGCCATTGTCGCTCTCGGTGGTCTGGCGCCCCTGATCAAGCAGATGAACTCGCCCAATGTCGAGGTGCAGTGCAACGCCGTCGGATGCATCACCAACCTGGCTACCCACGAAGACAACAAGGCCAAGATTGCACGATCAGGCGCCCTCCAGCCCCTCACCCGCCTCGCAAAATCAAAGGACATGCGCGTCCAGAGGAATGCGACTGGTGCGCTGCTCAACATGACACACTCAGGTATGCCTGCTTTTCTGATTAGTCCATGGTCCATGCTCACACGATAACAGACGACAACCGACAGCAGCTGGTAAACGCCGGCGCAATCCCCGTACTCGTCCAGCTGCTCTCTTCGTCCGATGTCGACGTCCAGTACTACTGCACCACCGCCCTCAGCAACATTGCCGTCGACTCGAGCAACCGCGCCAAGTTGGCACAGACCGAAGGCAGGCTGGTTGGCTCCTTGGTCCACCTCATGGAGTCTTCGTCGCCCAAAGTCCAGTGCCAGGCCGCCCTCGCCCTTCGCAACCTTGCTTCTGATGAGCGTTACCAGCTTGAGATTGTGCGCGCTCGTGGTCTGCCGTCTCTTCTCCGTCTCCTCCAATCCTCGTACCTCCCGCTTATTCTATCCGCCGTCGCATGCATACGAAACATCTCCATCCACCCCGCCAATGAGTCACCTATTATTGAAGCCGGTTTCCTTAAGCCCCTCGTAGACCTACTCGGCTCCACCGACAACGACGAGATTCAATGCCACGCTATATCCACACTCCGCAACCTTGCTGCTAGCTCTGACAAGAACAAGCAATTGGTCCTCGAGGCTGGTGCTGTGCAAAAGTGCAAATCCCTCGTACTGAACGTGCGACTCCCAGTGCAGTCAGAAATGACTGCGGCCATTGCTGTGCTTGCACTGAGTGAGGAGCTAAAACCTCACCTGCTGAACCTGGGCGTCTTTGACGTCCTCATCCCACTCACAGAATCTGAAAGCATCGAGGTGCAGGGCAACAGCGCCGCTGCATTGGGCAACTTGTCGTCAAAGGGTAAGTCTGAATGTGTCTTTGTTCTGCCAGCCACTAACAGAAGCAGTGGGCGATTACTCGATTTTCATCCAAAACTGGACGGAACCCGCCGGCGGAATCCATGGTTACCTGCGCCGTTTTCTCGCTAGCGGCGACCCAACGTTCCAGCACATTGCCATCTGGACACTCCTACAATTACTCGAATCCGAAGACTCAAGATTGATGGAGCTCATAGGCAAGTCGAACGAAATCATCGATATGGTCACGGAAATTGCCGAACGCAACATCGAGTCGGACGACGAAGACAACGAGGACGGCGAGGGCGAGGTCGTGACCCTTGCACGCAGGTGTCTTGAGCTCCTGGGCAAGAGCCCCAAGACATTTGTCGAAGGATAGAAGACCGTCAGATCGCATTTTATACCCTGTTTATCGGTTGTCGACTGCTTTTTGCGCTCTTGCTCTCACCGCCGTATTCGATTTTTCTGATTATGCGTTCATGTTGAAGACTGCTTCCAGGCATTAGGAGGGTTGGCGTTCAGGAGCAGATGTATCCTCAGTATCTCTAGCGAGCATTGGCGGAGTGGGCTTTTACATACATTGGCATGCACACATGTTACCACTACTCTTACTCCCCCACACCGACGAGAAAAAGAAATTTATAATTGATAGATTTGAAGCTTCTTGGGCATCGTGGAAATGAAACAGACGGTGTTCGTTTCTTCTTTCGATTCCACGACCCTGGCCGACGTGATTTCGCCCAATGCCCATGTTATGCATGGGTGATATATAGGTAGTCCAACGGTGATCCTGATCCAAATACATAAAACCGCTGGGTACAAATGCAACCATTGTAATTGGCCGAGTCGAACATTCCAGCGGAAAGCCCTTGCTACGTCCGCCCCTCACTCTGACATGTGACGTCGCGTTACTTGGGCTAAGGTCGGATCGGCATTACCTTATCGATAGCCAAAATATTTGCGACTTTCCCGAGTCACGCTCCACTTGCTTCCCTCAAGACAACCACCACAGCGATGCCGCCCAAACCAAGAGGAAGCGGGACCACACGCTCCCGCGGCGGCGCAAGGGGAGGATCAGTCGTAGCAAGAAATTCAACAGACGCAACCGAATCTGTGCAAGATGCGACCCCGCAGAGTACAGCTCCTGCAGCTGCCACAGGAGATTCGATTGAGCCAGTAATCCCCAAGGAAGAGGATACCGACTCGAAGCCCGTCGTAACCGAAGAGGGCGCGCTGAATGCAACCGAATCAAAAGCTTCATCTTCAGCGACAGCATCGTATGAACGCTCTCTTTCACGTACGACGCCTGTGGTGCTGATGACTATGCGATAGTGCTGCCGAATCGCCCCAGCCTGGCGCAGAACCGAGCGCTCGCGCCCCCGTACAGAGGCTAGGCAGTTTGCAAGGCTCAGTACCTCCTTCCCGATCCGCATCACCATCTGTTCGCGGCCGCGGCGGTACAGCTCGAGGCAAGAGAGGTGTCAAGACGCCCGCGTTCACAGGTAGACGAAGCAAAGAAGAGCGAGACGCCATCGCAAAAGAGCAGGCAGCCCGCGACCGGGAAAGGACAAAGGAACAGGTCGCTGCAGACAAGAAGAGAGAGGCCGACGCATTGAGAGCAGCTAGGCGTGAAGCGAACAAACAGAAGAACGCACGAGGTGGATTCAGTGGAGTTGCCAGCGGGCCATTCTCGCTCGGAAGCTCTAGAGAAGGCACGTCGATTTTTTTCGAATACAAGCAACTGCGCTGACTGTGGCTTTAGACAGGAAGAACAATCCAAATCGTGGACACTCTGGTTTTGGCGCAGGATCCGGCTCACGAGCAGAACGCATCAAGAACGAAGATGGCGGTTACGCAGGCTCAAGTCGGTCTGGAGGCGGAGGTGGGGGCGGAGGCAGCTCTTACATGAAGAGAGAAGATGGCGGAATGGTTTCCTCGGATGATGAAGACGATATTAACCTGCCACGTAAAGACATTGACCTGATCGAGATATCTTCTGACGAAGACGAAGCCAAGGACAAAAGTGTGCCGACACAACGTCCCACAAGGACAGCATTGCCTGTTCGAATAGGACGGAAAGAACACCAAGAGCGAACATTTGGCATAAACACAGAAGCCAGCTCAGAGGCGTCTGCTAAGATACTTGAACAAGCGGAATCGAGCGGACAGTCGCTGGCTACGGCTGCCACCGACCAAGCTGGCCGAAGATCAAAAGCCAAGTCAAAGGATGTGGAGATTACCGGCTCTCGCAAGCAGTTCAAGGGTGTTTGGAATGACCCAGAAGATTCCGACATTGCTGTCAAGACGGAACCCACCAGCGACGACGAGAACATGGCTGATGCTGAACAAGTTGGCTTGTCCAACGCTCCAGCTCAGCCAGCGGAGAAGGAAGAGCCACAATCACCGGACGCTGAACGCAAGCCGAAAATCAAAAGGAAGAGTATCGCCGAACCCATCCTCCAGACTGACGAAGACCGTGCAGAATGGGCGCGTTTTCAGTCAAACTTGCGCCACATTCGAGCTGAGCTGGGTCCCGAAGAGGTGCCGTCTGTTGACGGGACAGGGGACGTAGCCATGGCAGACGCCGGCAGTGCAGAGAAAAGACCCACAGTACGAGATAACAATGTTTATCTCTTCCAGATCCCACCTCTGATGCCAGAAGTGGAACCGCCGTCTGTCAAAAAAGAGGTTTCAGACGCCCAACCCCCTCCACCACCCGTCCAGGCTTCAGGCAAAGCGGATGCGAAGATCAAGGTCGAGGAAGGAAGTTTTTCAGATCCTAATGCCAAGGCCAAGGAAGGGGTCCGCTTTGGGAGTGGACTGGTGGGCAAACTGCGCGTACACAAGTCTGGCCGCACAACACTGGACTGGGGCGGCACGAGCTTTGAGCTGACGCCGGGAAACAGATCAAGCTTCTTACAAGAAGTAGCTAGTGTCGAGATCCGGCCAGAGAACCAGAGAGCAGCGCCCGAGGATGCAGGGGATGCAATTAGTCTTGGCAGGGTCAAGGGCAAGTTTGTGGTGGTTCCCAACTGGGCGAAGATGCTGGACTAGTGCATGGAGAAGGTGTTGTCCAAGTATGCGGTGTTTTCCGTGGTGTTTTAGCTCATCAACAAGGTTAGGGCTGAAACGGCACAAGTCTTGTAGCGTTGCTATCAGAGTACAGTGAAGCAGTGCCTTTGAAAGAGGCTGCGCTAAGCTCCACCCGTATAGTTGTCATTGGTGCGTGGCAGTCCGGCAAGCATCGCGGTGTGCAGTTGCAATCTGCAAGCGTTTTCTGTCGGCCCGTTGAGCTGCGCATGCCCACGTGAATATGACACATTTTGAACTTGCACAACACTTGGTTCTCGCCATTCCTTCGACTCTGTTTCGAGTTCGCCAGCGCCTACGAGCTAGACTGACGAATACAGGATCAGAGTATATACACACCATTCCCAGAACCGAGCCAAGTACGTGACACGAGGGCAGAGCAGCCGCGGCGTGCGACGAGAGCGGTGGTAGGGGGGAGAGTTCAGTGCAGGTGGCACGTGCATGGGATCGAGATTCGAACGTCGTGGGCAAATGCCATGTTGAAAGCTGAAAAGGCCAGTGCGGCCACAATCGAGCCCCCGCGCATTAGCCCCTCGGCAGGAATGCCGGTGCAGGTTGTGGTAGGCGATTTGCAGCGTAAATCACCCTGGCCAGCCGCCTAGCTCGTCCTGCTCCCTGTTAACTGTCACTAACTGCTCTTTTTGCGTCCGCATCTCAAGGGTGCCGTTCATCGATGCAAAGCCCTCCCAGACGGGGCATGCACCCACCATCGCCTTTGCAACAACCACTCCTGGTGCACATCCCACGCCCCCCCGCGCCCGTCTCGGGCCTCCCTGTTCCTCCGCGGTCCAACCACGGCGTTATCCACGCAGATCCGCCATGGGGGATGTGGATATCCGTCAGCTCTTCGACAGCGACCCTCGACCAACTTTTGTTGTTGACTGCGATTCCCCTTCATCCGCCATCTACCATGTCAATATCGCCTTGCTTGCTATCCCACAAATCGCCCTGTCGCTTGGTTCGCACAACGCGCTGAGAGACTGGTGGGATCCTGTGAGCCTCAGTTCCGCTCGCCACCAAAACGAGTTCCGCCATGGTAGGTACCGGTGGGCCAAGTTCGTCGTCTGCCGTCGCTGGCTCGTCGTTACCATTGTTCAGCAGCCGCCTTCTTCGCTCGAGCAACCAAGCTGCTTTTCAGAGCCTGCCAGGCTACCTCGCATCGTCTCCCCTCTCTGGGGATCCCAGCCGGATACCATCTTCACTGTCAAAATCCAGTCGCCAGAGTTACGCCAACACATTGAACGCATCCGCAAAGTTGACTGGTCAAAGACATCTCTAGGCCCTATTAGCAACTGGGGATATGAACTCAACCTACTCGTGACGACTTTGATGCTGGAAACCCGCCCAACCGCCCTCTTCCTCGGACCTGAGCGGACCGTCTTGTACAACCTCGCTTATGGCGCCGTCAGTGGGTCGAGACACCCTGCCATACTGGGCCAGAGTATCCTAGATGCATGGTGTGTTGGACACCATGACCCGGGATCAAGCTTTTCTGACAACCCAATAGGCCTGAGCTTGCAGATCCCATCTCGACAACCATGGACCGCTCAGAATCAACACGCTTTGCCGATGTTCCTGAAGAGGAATTTCACTTCATGGTCGAAAGAAATGGTTTTGTTGAAGAGGTCTTCTTCATGTGGAGCCTCGTCCCTCTTGTCGGTGTCGGCGACATTACCGGCATGTATTCTATCGTGACAGAGGTCACAAAACAGAGGTAACCACCTCGTATTCTTCGCCAAAATAAAACACCATCATTAATCATACCGATTCAGGTTGCTCGAGCGTCGCGTCGATGCTTTGTTAAGGGTGGGCCAGTTGGCCAGCAAAGCAAGAACAACTAAAGAGTTTTGGGCTCAGGTAGGCCAAGCTATTCAGCCATCTGAGTATGACTTTCCGACCGCCATTTTGTACTCAAATTCTGAGTTGAATGAGGTACCAGACGCTGCAGGTGTTAAGACTGGACTACCACGTAGATGCACTCTGCAATGGACCATCGGATATAAACCCGACCACTCTGACATACCTCAGCATCTAGACCTAGACCAGGATACTGGCTTGGCTCGCGCTTTTTCCGCCAGTATAAGATACGGACCTGAAATACTATATGAGGAACAGGATGGTATACTACCAACGTCATTGTACACCGATCTCGAAAAGCGCGGTTTTGGAGACCCACTAAAAGTCTTCCTTGTTCTGCCAATACGGACTTACGACGACAACATTGTAGCATTCCTTCTTATCGGGCTTAATACTCGTCGGCCATATGATGATGAGTACAAGGATTGGATC